GATCTCTCCGTCAACAGGGCATAAATTTCGCCGCGGTTTGTTCGATGGAAAAATCAAGAAGCCACCTGGCTACATAAAATCAAACACCGGAGATCTGTAGCGTGCCGCCATACATCTAGAACAATTTCGTCTTCGACAGACAGGAATAGCCGCTGATCATCTGCAGGCACACCGCAGTCGCACACGCATAGGAACTGAGAGGGGCTGGGATAATCCTATCGGAATTACCTTTGCTCCGGACTCGTGTATTATTAGTATATTAAAGCAAGGAGTAAGATCAGCATTTAAAATTTAAGCAGTCATCAGGACGTTGTACTTGAGCACTCACTGTTACGACAGTTTTCGCACTTTCACAGATCACTCAAATGACTCATCAGGAAACACATTTTGCATCTAAACGACCATCCGGCAGTGTCCATCAGCCGGTTCGTAGCTGGCTCCAACATGTGCAATGCGAAATCTTTTGAACCGTAGCTATATGAACATTGAAGACACAGTGCGGTTGTACGGTGTCAGGTTCCAAGAAAAATCAAGTCCAAGATCAATTTCGTCGCTCCAGGAATCCATTGGGCAAAGTCAAAGATGCGCCATTGTTTGAACGATGGAAATACCAGGAAACAATCATGGCTTTACAAAATTCGGCACCCGGAGAAGTTGCAAGTGCCCGGTTACCTCAGCGAAATGATCGTCGTAAAGCCGCATGCCAAACCGTACAACCTTCGAAGCGGAAACCGGACCTTCATCGAAGCGTAAAAGGCCACAAGGACGGGGAAGTCCACGTTGGCCTGGAGGCTGAACAAAATCATGTGCCACCCGAACCGAGCCGGAAATCATATCCTAAGCAGCTGATCTGTCGGTTTTTCGCAATGCGTTGAAATAATTATGTTAAAACTGCTGGTTAGCTTTCACTTATTTTCACTTGCCAATGATGTAGAGCTACTGCTACTAGGCAATAAACCCATATTTCAAGATTGATGTGCGTATTCTGCCAATCACTGCCGACATCGGTGGTTTGCACCGAAGGAAACGAAATCTGGTGCGATCGGAATCTGCCAATGCTCTATACAGCTTTGCTGAGTTTGTTTACAAGATTGTTTACAAAATCTGCTACGTATCTGATTGCAGCCTTTCACTTTAGCGCCTATGACTGCATGGTGGCCGTGATTATTGTATACAATCAATGGAAAACTGCCCGTACAATAAGTTTACCTTACAATAAGGTTATAGCTGTTCAGATTATTTTTATTCGAATATGTGCTCTGTCCAAATCGACATAAAAATTTCGAAATGGCTCCGCACTCCGAAGCGCAAACATATCGAAATTTTTGTATTTTTCCGGTAAAATTTTGCGAAGATAAAAATGCACAGGTGTTCTGCTCTCGTGCGCGTTACCGCTTTTATGAGAGGTTGAAATTGAACTGCGACTGACCTGGTGAGGACTGGTGCAATAAAGTTTGCACTTTCCCACTTATTGTTCAAATTTTCGGTTTTTGGTAGCGTGTATCAACGTTTAGATGTATTCCTATATTTTTACCGCTCTTACGTTCTGTAACAGCTGTAACGTATTTGACAATTTGCCACAGGAAGCAGATCGAGCAAGTGGTTGCTAATGTAAGATTAGTGTAAAACTGGAGGAAAACGCTACTTGGCTGCCGCTTGTTCAGATCAACTGACCACTGTCTTTTATTCTGGAACTTGATGCTCGTATTGATTTCGTAATTTTCTACAGATTAAGTGGGTTAAATAAGTTAAAAAAGCTGCCAAATGAAAGGTAAATAGTTGTCCGAAAAATAGAAAATTGCATAATTCTGCGCCCGGAAATTCGGGGCGCAAAGCCAAGTTCTATGCGCGCTAACATCCGGGCTGTACTCTAGCTAAATTCTAAGCGCCCCGTATGTCGGGGCGCACAGCAGTTTACTAAAATTTTAAACATTATAGCTCATATTTCTGCAACGAATGCGTTATTTATGCTACAAAGTAGTCCAAAAGACTACCGCATCAGCAGTGTGCCCGTTCCCGCAAAGGGACCGAGTTGCTAGCCACCTTGCCTTAATACCATCAAGTTACGCAACGCATGAAGAGCTTTAAAACAGATTAACATCAGTTTTCGCATGATCTGGGGGGAATCATGTAGGGATTGTGATTTGTGAATTGTGACTGCTCAATGCCCACTGGTGACGGGTAAGAGTGTAAGACTATTAAAAAAAAATAAAATTAGAATCAGGATGTTACGTACGTCGGTACGAATACAATAAGTAGTCATATTCCAGATTTCGCCATATTAATATCGCCTTGTGTAAGACTGTAACTGTTTGCGGCCGAGGTATTGTAGAACTCAACATTCCAGCTGTTGCTATATTGTACATTCCAGTTGGTATTTAATGTCTGTGCGTACGCAAAAATTTTTTAAGACAATAAACAATGTCCCGCTCTCGGTAAAAATAATTTTTTGTCCATCGATGCACTGGGAATGGCAACCCAGTTAGACTGCCCCGTGTTGGCCGTAGTGGCTCAAGTACTTTCTTAAAATATTTAGTACAAATGCGCGAATTGAAAGTATTTACTAATTACGACTTACGAGTACTATGTCGCGCGAAATGAAAGTATTGATTTTGCTAGTTACTACGACGAGCCACGTCACAAGCTAGGTGGTCAATACCTATTCCTACACAATCCCGGGCTGAAGACTTCAGATTCATCAGATGATCAGACACACTTCCTGTTCCTCATCTCAGGACACAAGGTTACTGCTGGCCTTAAATGAATCGCCATAACGGTCACATGCCTGTGATGTTTATTTACCATGGTTAAACACTTAAACCATGATTACTCCCGTTGTATAATTACGTACAGTACCTGTTTCTGTGCGTACGTGGCTTGGGCAGCAACGTGATAATGGCGTCGTATCTCAGTGTAATTGATTACCCTTTGTCATAAAGAAATTAGCGTTCCTTGTTGCTGTCGCTCGGATTACATATGATAGATGCGGCGTTGTTACCGATAAGAGAACAATCAATGCAGTATGATCTTTGACCAATGCCCAATAGCGACGATTTGCATGCTTGTAAAATTTGAGCGACAATGCAAAATGCATAAAGGTAGTCAGTCTGGTGATTAGTGATTACCTCTAACTTGTTTGTCCTTGCCAACAACGGCAATCGTTGTTTAATCATTTGCATGTAACATAACTATTTGCAATAAGGTATAATTCCGAAAAATGCCGAAGGTATTTATTGAACATCGCTGCCGTTTCTTAAAATTAGTCCTTTAAAATATTGAAGTTGCCGTTTCATACAATGAAGCAGTGAAACTTCAACGGTACACAACCAAAAAAGGTTTATGTTAGTACGGTGGCAATTTGTCCTAATGTGGGCACTAGCAAAAGCGGAAGCAACATCCTTGTTTATAATCTGGTTTGAGAGAAAACTTCAGATTATATATGCGCTATAGTAGGCCAACGGTGTAAAAGCGAAAATAGGAGAGCTCATAAGCTGACATAACAATATATGTTCAGATTATCTTAGTTTATAGTAAAGAGTTCTGTCAGCTTTGTGGAAAGTCGAGAGAGGTTTATATCAAGAAGGGAGAAGATGACTCGTTTCAAGGAATCTGCAGCTTGCCGTTGCAAGAGCCGGAAATAGAAATAGCAGCTGCGCCGTACGCTGACGTCGCACCCTTCGCACTACTTTTACGCAGTCAAAAACACACTGAATAGTTGTTTTGTCGGCAATAAACAATTAGACATCCAGGTACCATTTTGACTACACTCGCTTCCAAGATTTGGTTAAAGGATAATAAATACAATGGACTGTAAATTTGAGTAAACGCCAGACTGGACCAGTTGCACAATCGGCTATAACGGCCAGCGTCTGCTCCCTTCTCGTGTGACAGTTGGGATTACCGACTGATCTGGGTTGCCGATTCAAAAATCGGCAATCCAGTGCCTTAGGTCAAAAACCTACTGTACTGTATGTATAGAACCCCATGGGGACATGGCCCTTGCAGCACTGTGCAGAAGACTGTGTCCCCGCCGATGACGCTTCAGTGCCGAAATGGGATCTTCTGCTCTCCGAACGACGTTCATTCACCGTTGTACAATGCAAAAGTTTGCAATGCATGCATCAGCCGAGCTCATAGATCGCCTGCTAAAATAAATTGTAATATTTGTTTTAAAATTTTTGAAATTAACTAACCAAACTGTCTCAAACGGTGCTTCCAAGCAGAAAGTTTTGATCTGCCTTGCCACTTCAACCCTTTATACATAGTTTATATTCACAGGTGCAATACGACAACGTCGCAGTTTAGTACCGATGAATTAAAAATACTTACACTTACAGACAATATCCGTAGGTAATTATAGAATGAAAAGCACAAAACCGTTATCGAACCTGTACATTGTACATCGATATAATAATAAAATTAAAGGCTTTAATATGTGACTTAAAATAAATACTGGCCACTTGTAACACGAACGTTCTTCGGAGCGAAAGGGGACGCTTTCGTCTGACTGTGTTTGTCTGCGAAACATGCTTCCGTGTTTTCATTTAGTGCGTGTACAATCCAAAAGCTTCCCGGTAAGGCTTGGGCCAGAAGAAAAACCAACACAAAACGGCCGCTCAAACGAGCACAGCAAATTGCCAAAATAATACACTTGGCAGCTGTAACTACCACAGTTTTAACAGCACGAGTATGCAGTTGAAGCTGACGACTCACGTTTTTCGGCGAGCCTTAAGCGGCTACGCTGTACAACCAGGCCATTTACTTTCCGGTAAGGCCATCACCTGAAGTGGGCAACGCTTCACTTGGCCAGCTCTTAACTGAAGTCTACGTGTACGGGGTATATGGTACGTACAGCGCAACATTTCGTGTTCGACGAATGATAGGCCGATAGCTGAAATAAAATACCGGCAGTTTGGAGAAAATGTTTGCGTACGAAGTAAGTACTATAAGTCTAGTAAGTACAATACTTGCTTGCATATTTCTGAAATGGTGTAATCGGCTGATATTGCCATAAGCTGTTCGACAGCAGACATCTGAATATCCAGGCATTATGATTAACTTTCCATTTGGAGCTTTTTTAGCATATATATTTGTGCATTGTGCACCAGACAGAAAAATTATTACTCCGGTTGGTAGTTAGTACGAAGTTAAGAAAGCCATGCAATATGCATTACAAGCAACGCAACCCTGGTGTCTGTGATTGCGCGCTAACAGATTGATGGGGCCTTCTCTAAACGTTATCTTGAACTTCTTTCATGCGGCAGTGCAAGTGACACAGTTACGATTTTCGCCATGTTTTCTTTTCAACATAATATTCCATTGTGGATTGCCGACGGTAGTGGTGTTGCTTCAAAATGGGCACAGGGCTTTGCTGCGCGGAATGCGATGGACGTCAAGCAGGTAGGCATCCCGCAGAAGCGGTATCCATCTTTACAACTGCGTAAGTACAAACACACTGATTCGCAAATGGTATCACGCTGAAAGAATAATAGATATGATATAAAGTAGCCAAATACGTACAACTGATCTGCGATACTGCCATATTAAACGTATGGTTCTGTGAACCAGTGCAACCACACAATTGAAGTAAACACAAGTATAACGGAACATTTAAAAGTTTCCTAATTTTGAGAGAAAAACTTGTATGTGCTTTCCTTTCTTCGATGTCTGCGGTGCACTATCTCAAAGCATGTTATATCTATATTCTCTGGAAACTGTTGATCTGTTTTAATAATAATCTCCTCGATAATATTTAGCTGTTTTTGTTACCGACCAGACATAGAAGTCCCGTTTGCCGGGTTGTCTGCTTCTGATACGTGAATGAATGAATGAATGAATGAACTAGCTGTACGCGGACGTTTTGCTCGACAGAGCTTCTGTTCCTTATTAATTTCTGCAATTTACTTGATTATCATATAGCTATATCAACCATAATCTAACTGCACTGGCCGCTGTAGACAGTGCAGTTAGTTTAAGTTTATAAATGCAACAGTAAAATATTTACTCTAACGAAGGATGCTTTACCTACACCGGTACTTACACGAATAGCATCTCCAAACTTCATGCACGGCGCAACCACTGGCATTTGCTAAAAACTATGGGACTTGTAGGTTTCTGCATTACAACTGCAGCATAAAAGTTTTGCATTGCAGATAATTAGATTAACAGTGGCCAGTTGGTTTAGTCTGACCCCGGTAGCTTTGCCCAGTACAACATAAAAATGGTTTTTTATTAATCGCGCTGCAGAAATTTCGCAAAGGCCTATTCATTAAAATGTGAACAACCGTGACCTGCACTGAACTGCGCACTTGTTTACATTGCGATCAGGCTTGGTCTCGAAGTGAGACCATTATGTAACGCTACTGCGCGTTACTGCCTATCGAAACATAACACTTACTGGTTCTAGGACGCGCTCAAATGCCTTATTGAAATCGTACAGACAGACATTTGCTGACGAGACGCTTTTGAGTTGCTTGCCCAGACGAAAGGTTGCAAAAGTCGTCTACCGCGCTAATCACGAGCGAGTCCATCGAAAACACTAGCAGCAATCGATATACGAGTACCTATGTCCCTGATTAGGCAGCTTCAGATTGTGAAATACTGATCTTTGCATCGGCAAGGTTATCGCAGCAGATAACAATACCGCATCCGGCTCTGCATTGCAGTTAAATTGCTACTTCGAAATCTTTCACAAACCACTGGGAAGATTCATCATAACAATGCAACAGAATATCGTACAATAAATTCTGATCGCGGAGTGAACTGAGTTTAATTGCACACGAAAATCCGTACTTTTTTTGTGTTTCAGGAACCTGAAGCGTGCAACTGGTACTACCGGCAGGACGCAGACAAGGTTCAATGTGGCACATGCTCCAAATTGTATGCCAGTAAGAAAAGCCTAAAGATACACAATCGCATCCACACTGGCTATAAACCATATGCGTAAGACAATAATAATACAAGTGTGCTTTCAGTCTATGTAATTGAAATATTAACATATGCGAAATATAGAATAAAAATCGCGTCATTTCCGCACTATTTATCACAGTTGCCCAATATGTCCGAAACGTTTCACGCAAACGAACGTCCTGAAAGCACACATCAATTACCACACCGGACGTCGCGACTGGTTATGCAAAATCTGTGGCAAGGCCTTCACTCAGTCGGCACATTTGCGAACTCACGAAAAGACCCATTCGAATCGCAAGGATTACCAATGCCCGTATTGCCAACAGAATTTTAGCTGCAAAGGTCAGTTCTCGTTTTACTGAGTAGAAGTTTTGTTGTGACTTTATTACTGCCGATTGATTACTTTGACATATTACAAAAATTCTCCGTTTGCATATCAAATACTTCGGTACCATTTTTTATTGATGGCCTTATAGCCACAAATCCTACAACAAGTCTACAGATTTCTATCATTTATTTGCATAGCCAGGGCACTTCGCTACAATTTATCGCTGTTATTTGTCACAACGCGTATGCTAGCACTGATAACTGTGCTTAATACGTGCTCGCACACTACTCTAGATCTAGAGGTTACGCAATTCAAACTTGGTTGCATTAATTTTAGCGTTATATTAGACAATTTGGGAAAATTCCGACTGTTACAGCAGTACCATTGACCAGCGTGCATGTGGCAAGGGCCGTGCTATAGTGAACGAATACTGAAATTCAAATTTTAGATAACTTTTTTATATCGTTTGCAACTGCTTTTCGTCGCGCTTCCGTAGTAAATCGTAAATCACATAACGCGCATTTACGGTCGTTCATTTTATATTCAGCCGGTAGTAACCGTCGAAAAGGGCACTGAGGCTGAGAGACAGGATGTGAACGGATTCGAACTATTAGTTTATAGTTTCAAGTCGGCTAATCTGACACCTACTATAAATATTAACCCGGAAGCAACGGGCCTGGCGCATTATTTTCCCAGCTACCGATGTTTCTGCTCGTTTACTTCCTGGCACTTGCATTACCTTTCGACTTTCGAGCCATTACGACAGTAATCTTTAGCGGTTTACAATTCCTTAAAACCATTATGTTCTTGTGGGGGGCGGTTGCGACTACTTATTTCGGCGTAGGACGCAAACCCCATATGACGTCAGCGGTCAGGCGAGTTATCATTCATCCGTCTAGCCTAATCTGCGGAATCCAACCAGTTTCACACATGCATTGTTTTGCAGGTGTACGCGACCGGCACATCCGTCAGCATACGGGAGAAAAGCCTTACAAATGCTTGCTCTGTGAGAAACGATTCACGCGCGGTGAGTCACTGAAATTTCACGAGAACGCCCATCAGGGCATCCGACCGTACAGCTGCCCACACGAACACTGCCGGAAGACGTTCACCAAACAGTCCAGCCTGAAGCGCCACATCCGCTCCGCACACAGCGGACTGGCATCCAGCTTCCGCGTCCGTTCGGCCAAATTCAGCTCACCACTCGCTCACGTATCCGGCTGTTCGGCTATCTTCCCGACAACAGTGGCTTCGCCCAGCGCCAACAGTGACTGTGTATCAACAACCGGCTCATCCACGGCGGGGCCCGGACAGTCCATTTGTCATTAAGATGGAGGAACTCGACGAGGACGACACCGAAGACCAGCTGCTGCAGAACATGATCCAAAGTCTGAGTGCCGCTGAACTGGATCGCCTGGATCAGTATTTGGGTTTAAGCAGCACTGATGCCTCGCTGGAGTCATTTTTGAATGGAAGTGGTGGAGAAGTGTTTGATAGTTTTGTAAAAATGGAAGTGGATGCTAACGATGTAGCTCGTCCAGGCACTGCTTACCCAACACAGAATTACAACGGGCCTGCTTACAGCGGGCATTATGGGATGAATATGTGGGATCCGGTGGACTGGGAGATGCCGGAGCTCAAAGTTTTTGAAGCACCTGGACGATTTCTGCCGCGGTCCGAATGGGAGCGTGGCAACAGATTCCACCGTATCGAATGAGCGGAAGCTCGGTGTGCGGTAACTGCCCTGCCTGTCATACAGTTTGCCGGGCACAGTCAGCTCCTAAATTCCTAATACGCAGCGGTTGCATCGAAAAAATTCAACTCTTGTCGTACGATTGTCCCACAAACTTCTCGCTTCGAATGAATCGATTCATATACTTACGGTATGCTGTAAAACGAGTGCATGGCTATTCTGTAGTCTGTACGCTACCCGTAGATCTTAGGCTGAATTTTATGTATGAGGAGGATAGTTGGAAAAGCTCAGAAGGTTAAGAAGCTACACGGCTTCTTTTGGATTGTTGGACTGTGATATAAATGGATCCTCAATGTTTTGTACTTAAGCTTCTACGAGTAGTTTGTTTCGTATCAGCAGTTCAGAACTTTGTCATTTGTTCTTATTGTTGGCATTTTGCATTCCTGTTAGCAATGGAATTGTTGCATGTTGTGTCATTTTATTGATGATTTAGTTGTAAAATGTAGTTTTTGATATATATATTTTTTTCAAGCTTCTATACTGCCATGGTTTTTTTGCCAGAGTGTCACCCAAATGGCATTCGAAATCGTTATTGTATGTGCTTGGTGCGAGAATCACTGTCAAATTTTGCACAATATTTATGCGACTGTAAAACGTCCGTACTTTCAAAAGCGAAAGCTATCCGCATTTCGCAACCGACAGGCTCCAGCGCAAAAACCGGGAAGAGTATGTACGAAATTTTAAGCACCACTATATCTGAGTGAAAACTAAGAAATCATGGCATTTTTGGTTGTACTATTAGTAATGCTTGCATGCGGGTTAATGCAGATGACCGTTTGAACCAATCAAGTTTTTTCGGTGTAGTTTTTGAAGTGGGTCGACATTTGTTTTGCCGGTCACCGGCATCGTATTTGTAGTATGCAATTGTTTATAATTACATGTAGTATATGATATTTTTACTTCATTTGATTATTACCACGGCAATAACCAGACACCACTGCTCCAAAATTAAGTTAGGAAGTAGTACCAAAACAACCAATACCGTCATTAACGTTATCATACGGTTTAACACGTGGCATAATGCCCAAAACTGCCGCCTCGTTACCACGAACAATGGCAGTGCCGAAGCTCTGTTTCGAAAACCAACTCGAACGCACTTCACCGGTCCTTTCAAAATTTTTACAACCTGGAAACTTGAAAAGTTCCCTCGTAAGTTAGCTCAGTATTCCAAGGGTTTCGCATACAACAGGAAGAAGAAATATGGCGGTGTAACAAACGGTAGTGGTTTGGTTTATGAAATTCAGCGATACAATATGAACCCGCGTGCTGCTGAACGGTTCACATAAGAAGACGCCCCCATACAGGAGGACGTAGCATCCCACACCACATACTGGCCGTCTCGCACAAGAGCCAGGATAACACCGTTTGGGCCTTTTCCGCTTTTGGGATTGTACAGTATTAGTATTGTACTTAAGTCTTGCATCTGGGACAGTAGATAAAAAGTTTATCTAACGGCTGCATGCACGGCAAGTCGCCATGGGTTTTGGCTGCGTGCACGAATTATTACTTTTACCATTTGAATATTTTTGAGTTTTGCTTTCTAATTTAACATTTCATAATCTTTTTCATACTATTCAGCAAGGATTACTTAATTTTTCAGCCGCTTAAGACATATGTTTTGGGTAAACAATCGAGATATCGCTAATATTTGTTTTTGGTCGCTAATGTATCACATGCTGGTGCTTATCGTCCTTTAATCGTCAAATACCTGAGACAAATGTTTCCTGACGAACCCTTTCTATAAAAATTGTCGACGATGAACCTGACTAGACAAGCTGCTTGTTGGCGCGACAACGCAGACGCCGCGTGTGCACAGTCACACCTGCATTGAGCTACGTGGCCACAGCGCCGATACCGGTGAACCTCGATTACAGAGACGCAGCAATAATATTGCCGCGATATTTGATTAGGAATTCTGACAACTGCATACGAAATTTTTACGACTAGTACTTTTATCTAGTCTGATACAGTATAGGAGTGAATACCTACGAACCTGCTCCGGAAATGTGTTTTCATGAGTAAAGCAACATTTGTCGTTCTACTGTTCACTATCTATTGTCAGCTGTCACCAACACAACGCCTATATATGCATCGCAGCAAAACCCCTTCACTCGTTGCAAAACATGATAATATTTAACTGTATCCTCCTTTACCAATACGTTTTCCGTTTTCGTTCGAACTGTCTGTCGGTCAGATTACTGTCAAGTGTTGGGCTTCTGGTGACAGTTGCATTATTGCAGTCACACGCATTCATCGTGCTAAGCCATTCGCTTGGCTAGCTTGGCATTAATTTATGACTTTTACTGCCTTGCTGCCATAAATCAGCAATTGCCACCTGATTGCAATATCAAAACACAAAACGCGTTTCCCATAACGAATTTGTTTGTCGTTTGTTTGCTCAAACGCATCGCCACTACCGAAAAATATTTGTAGTAAAAAAATACAAATTTTGGTTGCTACCGCCCGCTCGGCTTCCTGTTCAGTACGCTCCGAAATTCCGAATACCGAAAGCTTCCGTTCTTCGACTGGAGCCGGCGTTACTACTCACTGTTCAAAATCGAAGAGCCGTCGGCATTATGTTTCTTAGCGGATCGGGTAGCATAGAAGCACACAGAACCGCTTATAATTCAGGTAAGCCGAAGCTGTACTAATCCGCATGAGTGCAGGACTGCAGTTTGAATTCAATTCATATTCGAATTTCGAATGTCTGTTCTTTGGCTGGGCAGCTTTTTAATTAAAAGCTGGAGTAATAACAAAAATATATCGTACCTACTATACCTACTAAAAATCGTATACTCTACTGAGTATGTAACTGCATGTTAAACGGCAGATTTTATCAAGATCTGGCTGCTAGACGCCCCACGTACCGTATTCGGTTTTGCCATTTCCTATACAGTCCACTTGTAATGTATGAACATATCAATAATAATGCAGTTGCAGTCATAGTACCAAAATTAATTAACATTACCGATGATATAGCTGCTGGAGATACCCGATGATATAGCAAAAGGGCAGACTCCTCGTATTACATTTTGTTCGGAAAAACGTCTAGCGATATATAACTCAATATCAGTTTTGTAAATTAACATTGACAAGTGAAAGAGTTATGTATTTTGACCAGTGTATAAAGACCAGTACACACTGCACAAAGGGCTGCCGACAGCGCTCTTTTACTTTGAGTAGCCGTGGTACGCTGATAGTGCCTGTCAATCATTTTAGCCGGACTAGCCAAATGATACTTGATGGACAGACCGGTACATGACACCAAATGCGAGGACGTGCACGGGAACTTGCATTTTCGCACATTCCAAAACACTTTCCGCACTGTTTTATGACATAATCGCCAATGATTTGTGTACAGTATTGCGAAAACCGATTGTGCCTTCCAATATCCGGTTGGGGAGCTATGGGTGAAATACGATTCAAAAAACCTTTGTATACGAGTACAAAATCTAATTATAGACCGATCGTCTTCAAATTTCGCACGTAAATGCACATAGACTTGAGGAACGTTTTTACTACCGTCGAACAAGATTGTCAAAGTCTTCCAAAATTTTAAAATGTTTTCAATTAATCTTAAATTTATTTCAAATAAAAAGTTATCGATAGCTAGTAGCGCTTATAATGAGACTTCTGCGGCGTCTTTTTCCGTTCAAAATTTTAGAACTCATTTTCACCCATGCCACAAATCCGCAACCGAATGGTGCGCGCGCAAATTGATTTTCCAGCTAATGTCCACAAATCATCTGGATACAAATGACGTCAAACAATGAAAAAATGTATTGGAGCGCGCGAAAGAGAAGGTTTCCATTTAGCGTGCTGCTGGAAATACACGGATTTGGCACCATATACTGTACCGGCTGACTTCTCGTTGCGGCGGGTCCCTCTTTTGATGCTATGAACTTCAATGCATATTAAAGTGGATTCTAATCGAGAAGGCCTGTTCTGCTGTACCATATCGGCACTAAACAGAGCAGAACACGCTTAAACGTCGCAGTTCGTTGTACACATTTCCTTTTTGACATCACGTCGCAGCCACGAGATGTTACGGTCCAGAATTTTGTCGCAATGCGACTCGCTCTTACTGGTTTTTTGGAACTTATAAAAATTTCTCCAGCAAAGGATAGTCCTTATATCTACGGTTTTTTAGTTACTAGTAATTTCAAAAGGACTAAGCGACTAGCACTACTTAAATTTTTTTTGCGGTGCATCAGCCCTATGGCTTCTAGGTTTATTGAATTTTATCTCAGCGGTCAATTTAATGTTTGTATTATGAATCAAGGAAACATATTTATAGCATGATCGGCCGTCTCGTAGAAAACAAAACCCTTGGCAGGTACACTCAGCATAGTCCAAAAGGGTCCAACATGCATTTTGTTTTAAAAGAGGTCTGGTTGGACACCATCACAAAAAAGCCTGTACCGATATCGATAGGTATACTCGGCTCCACTAATAGCAATGGAGCCGGCACATACTCTAATGCCGGCGGCGATCTTCGGGAATTACTTACCTTAATATCTTATAAATGCAGACATGCCGCTATATTTTGAGAAAAACCCACAAAAGTATAGGGTTTTGTTGCTTTACTGTTTCTCGTGCAATGAACTTGAACGAGATTTCGTAGCGTTCAGTTAGAGCTCAGAAGGACTGAAATGTGACCTTAAAGGCATACATCGGATGAGTGATTAAATGAGTAGTCAATACGAATATTTAAGCTTCGCCGTTAAATCTTATTAATAAAATTAAACAGAATATTTAGCCGAAAACAGGCTCAGCCAGATACGCCTTGGGTTAGCTTTGAGTCGATAAAACAAGCCTGTTTGCATTGTTAAACAAGGACAGATCTCTGCAGGAAGAAAATCTATACTTCTGTAGCTACAGGTTACGTACGTGAAAAGTAGCGTACTCAACTATCTATAATTTTATTAACCGCCAGTTATCTGCCTACGTATACTTCTTTCACAGGTGAATTCTCTTTTGCTAGGTTTGTGTACTCGTAATTTTGAAAACACCTGTTTACGTGCATCATGATGAACTGTGTGCTCATCATATTCGCACGGACTGCAACAATCAATATGTACTCACAGAAAACTAACGAAGTCCGGTAGAATATCCCATAAACGCATCTATGATATTTAATGTATAACATGTAATTCAGATAGTGTGGCATTAAAAAGCAAACCGACGTTTACACGACACTAACTGTAACACAGACAATCGCTTATCTCATAACAAATTGGCCATTTTTGCTATAATTTGGAAATTGCACTTTACTCTTGGTTCGTAATTTCTTGATCTAATAAACGGCAAAGCCGTACTAATGGACCGTATCAAAATAATACACCTATGGCAAAATTAATATTCTAAGGCCAAAAAGAGCCATATCATAAATAAGAACAGTCTAGATAGTATCGGGCAACGCATAACCATAACAGCTCGTGCCCATTAAGCTCTCGAGCTGATGCTACCGTAAGACGAGCTGCTAGCGTCAGAGTGTTCTTACACAGAAAACTAAACGAGAAATCATGGCCTACGGTTTCACATGGCTATATATCTGTAGTAGTCGGCTATCATTTCTTATTCGGTACAGTCGAACTTTGTATAATAATTGTTGTTGCGGTTGACCTCCATCTTATGTAATGCTAATTATTAAATGTTTTTAAGTACTAGTCGTGATAGCACTTAACCCATCGCGATCTTGCAGAAACGCACCTAGAGTGTGTGTCACGAACCCTGTTAGAAACCAGTAATGACCGCACCCTGTCGGAATTCGAACGCCGGCGGTCTGGATTCCAGGATGAGGCTGCTGAGACAATCAGTGACATGAAAAAGCCAAGCACACTATGTTTGTCTCCCCATCCACTGACTGACCACGGAGCACGGAAACCCAAATGCGCAAGATGCCGCAACCACGACGAAATAGCGTGGCTGAAGGGGCACAAGAAGAGCTGCCCCTATAAGGAATGCACGTGTGACAAGTGCATCCTCATCATGGAGCGACAGCGCGTGATGGCTGCACAAGTATTTGACAATAAAGGAAATCTTGAAATTATTATCAAGAGCCTTCGCCAACAGGCTACAATTAAGAAATTAAGGCAGTTGTAGAATCTGATCATAATAGTGAGTATTGAGTTCATGAGTATACGTAGCGACCGCAAACATGTTCATTGTCTGTATGGTTAGGTTAGCTTGCACATATATATTGTACGCTCTGCTTGTGCGAACACGGATTTGTTCTTGCCATGCAGACAGCTTCGCGATGGCTACTTCCAAATCTTTCCAATAATCCAGAAAACACCTGGAAAAAACTGGTTGGCGTGCACTCGTACGCATAATTCAACGATAGCCGCTGTATAAGGCACCAGTAAAAATTTGGTTTTAATCTGAACGATATCACATTGTATGCAAATTATTATTACTGATTGTAAATGCATGAATTTTAACAATGATTTGGTTTGCCCGCACAAAACTTACACCAATCCCCCAGGCAACTGAACCCCGAAAGTCAGCAGTACTTTGGAATTGCTAAAACGGCTGGTTCTTTCGAAATGCGTCAACTACATACAGGTGGCTAGCACCTGGAGGCTGTAGGCTAGCTGTATCGTGTACAGTGTGAGTTCCCGACGTTTAATACAGCCAACTGCAAGTTGAGCCAACATGCAGTAGCAATCATCTTATTTGGGAACTACTACTAGTAGTATTAAAGTAAGTTTTCGTAAGTGTAAAAAAGTGTTTCACGCTGGCGTTGTTCGCAATCGTAGAATTTAATTTGCATTGTACAAATTTTTTATGGGCATTTTGGCTGGCCACCTTGGTCGGTATAGCAATAAAACCATGCCGAATACGGCGGAACTACCTTTGTCCGTCACGTTTTGCAGGTGATTTTTACCGATTTATCAGGTTGTATTTCAATGTAGGTTGCACTGAAGCGTCGCCAGTCCACCGAAGAAGCTGTAGCGATTGGGCTGCGCGCAGCCGTAACGGATGATAATTTGGGTTACATCCCACCAGGGCCAATTTTTCCCAGCCATTCCCGCCGGGCCTCTTCGTCACTGGAGAGCCTACCGGAATCAGAGTTATGCCACACTCCATTATCTCGACGACCGCACTCATCGGTTTCAATCCACAGCAGCGCGGCACCTGATGAAAATGTTCAAAAGTTCCATTTCGTCACCAGTAAACGAAGACTTCGCACGGAACGATGCAACCATGGCCTCTCGACTGCCTGGACAGCAAAGTGTCATAAAACACGCAAAGATTGACCGGCGTACAGCTTACGACAGTCATTTAGAAAATCGCCCGGGAAATGGAAATCAGGAATCTAGAACAGATGAAAACGTGCAAATACTTAAGCAAATATTTCCAAATTACAACAACGACCATTTACTGGACGCTTACAACAGACATCATGGAAATTTGTTCAAAACGCTGCAGTACATGTTTTCCAAGCGGGGAAGTACGACGGTACCGTATGAGCAAAAAACTCCGCATCCGTCAAGCGCTGCTGACGCCAACAGTCAATCCGACTCTGACAAAACCAGTGGCTATCGCGATGTTTACAAAATCCCCACGCTTCATGACACCACGGGAATGAACCTTGTAAAGCCGGCTTGGATGGGTGACTATCACACAAACCCAATGGTGAATACTCATTGGGCCTTGGTTCGCCCTGAAGAGTTAGTTCGATCAACCCAGTTTTCCACCGTTATGTCATCCCTGTTCGCTGTCTATCCAACGGTCGCCAGCGGATTTGCTATGCACTTACCGTATCCGCATGTACCTTTCTCGCACCCGGCTTTGTTCCCTGGACGTAACCCATCTGAGAGATTGCTGTGTCCATCTATAGCAAACCGAAACATGAGAAACGAACAGCCGGGGTACACTTTTTCCATTGTCGACAACCCGTACAGTGTCAGTAGGAACATCAAGCGGGAATAAATATTGCGATTCGTACAATGAAAAAACGTCAGTGTCTGTAATCTGCCTTTACCAAATGGCACCATCAATTGTAGAATTCTATATGAACGATTTTTACTGTGAACGATCCAGTAATACTCGTACTATTCCGTTGCTGATCTTTGTAATGATTGCGCTTTCCTAAATGGATGACAGTTCCTGATCTGAACGTGCACAATGCTGTGTGTGCAGTTTGTGGTTTCTTGTTACGAAAGGATACTTCATATTTGCTTCTAACTTTCTGCCCATTATTTTTAATGGTTGTGTTGATTCAGTTGATGGAACGTACCTTTAATAAGTATCGTAATACGAGTACAAACTGAGTACCAGAACATAACAGCATTTATAAAAGAAGCACTTCCTCTATGCTATCCTGATCGGGGAGAGTATGCATAACACAAATCGCGTTTCCCCGTTGCATTTGCATGGAACTCGCTGCTTAAAAAACTCTTTCGCCCGTTTCTGGCCAGTGGAAGTCGCTATACCGTTCAGTTGATAATATAGATATGCTCCATATTACGTACTTACAAGATACTTGAATTTATTTGGTGGCTTATTAATAGTCGCTATACAGACATCTTTATTTATATACCACCAAAAGGTCATTCATCTGAATTTATTTTAGAAGAGGATCTCCGTTTATTTTACAGAATTGCGATCTAAACTGCGATCGCAAACTGTTATCACTTATCAGCCATGTTTGTATGTACAGAGTATAATATCATGCCCCGTACTTTTTATATCTCCAAACGAAAAAAGATAAGTACCGCGGTTTCTATACTTACTTCTATTTAAGGGAAGTGACCCGGTACATAGCACTAAATTCGTGTACATCCGTGGACATACACGGATTTAGTGCCATGTAACGGGTCACTTCTTTTGAAATTTCATAAAAATGAAGTCAAACGAAAAAATGGCCGGTTGTCTTAAAGCATAATATGTTATTCGCCTTCGGTCCTCAAAATTTCGTTCAAAAAACAGATTGTATTCGCTTTATCATTTATTTATGAAATACGGATTTTCAAATCTGGATTTCAGCTCAAAATCGTCCGGGGGGGAGAGTCAGGCAAAGTCCCGTCCTTTTTCTGTAATTATTCTGTAATCTTCAAAAAATTTGGCAACTGCGCTGCGTTCTTTCTGCCAAATACAGTACTTACCTAGTTCCCCTACGGTGCAGAAGTCCCTGTCAAAGGAAAACCGGCTGAAGCGTTCGCTTAATAGTTTTAATTCCACACAAGAGTATGTACTTATGTTCTTACTGCCGAAACAAGATAGTTGAACGCGAGTCGCAGTCAACCTCTGCGAGTCGCAGTCAACCGCATGGATGCCTGGAGCAGGCACTTTTGCTCAGCTTACAACAAATCATGTAAACTGGAATATATTTTTTTAAAACAAACAGGTGTGGCGAAAATTAAATACCAAAATAACTGAGACTAACAACAAGTCCGATTCAGCCAGTAAAGCAGTGACTGGAGTGAAACGCATGCTGTACGGGGAAGTTCGTGCACGGAACAAAACGCATGGCTCAAAAAGGAGTGCCTGGAGTGAAAGTAATGCGAAAGGTTGGGAACTGCGTGATAGATCGTAAAACGAAAAGCTATGCACGGAGTGGACAGTGGTCAACAGTGCATCCGGAGATGCCGGATCCGGTCCGGATTCGGCATCTCCGGATGCACTGTTGACCGCTCAAACATGGTGCTCCGGATCATCCGGAGCACCATGTATGTTTGAGCGACCACTTATGACAGGCGTAATTAGGATAGGAGAGTGGGCTCACCTGGTCAGTGGAGATTCAGTGTATCGCAATTGTCAGAGATAATATTGACATGTAACATCTTCCCGTTAAGCTAGCTTATAGGCACAGTACACATCTTCGTTCTCATAGACAAAATACACATCTACTTAACCCAGTGTTGTATATCATCACTAATGCAACATTTAATTTAGCTCAGGATAATTTATTAATTTACTCTTTCCTGCTTCGTGCAGTCTTATTTTGTTTGCGGCAACCGAAGTATAGAGTTCACTGCCCAACATTCTACATCGCACCGTAATCGGCTTTACATATGTATTGTAGCAACCCGATAAATACTTACCGTTAGTTAATATTGTTCTAAACAGTGCAACATCCCATGCCAAAATAAAACGTATTTCGAATGTAAATTATGCATATCAGTTAGATCAATCATGCAAAAATGCAAATTTACAAACGCGCTGGGTTATTTATATAAATCCTCTTGAGAATAGCTCTAACACGATTTTTATGTTCTGTTTCCTGATATTAAGTAGGGTCATGACAAAAGCTATGGTAATACTGGATCCGTGCTGCCTTTTTAAAAAACCGAATAAGCTCATCACTTTATTGTCTACTCGGTTGAACAATGTTTCGCTGAAGTTGAAGGTCTGCGAAAATGCGTTTCTGTCTCTTTCCCAACTATGCACAATTGAAAATAAACCATCAAGTTCATGCTGCTTCCTAAAACACAATCAGAGCTCCTAAAACACAATCAGTATTATCACGCTGAATTTCTGTACTGTACTAATACGTTGTAACAGAAAATGCTTTGCGCGAATTTCTCCAGCCTCCTCTCTGATGCGTCTGGCCTGCTTACAGATAAAATACATGGAGGAAGACCGCAGATTCCCGTTGTTTTTAATGCGACAGCTGGAAATTAAAATATACCGAGCAGCCGCGTCAGCATATTTGCCGCACTTTCGCTACTCGGCCGCTACTACTGCAGCGCCAGCATGATCCGATGTCTGGCCAACATAAATCTGTGTCCGGCCGCAGTAACGTCCCACACCAACGCTTTGCCGTTCTTCCACGGATAATGAGTTGAACTATTAGCACGGATAACCTTATATTCACTTCGTGTTTATGTAGATATACTCGTATATAGTTGTTCATTAAGTTGCTATTTTGTTCGCGATAGTGGATAACAGCTTTCCAAAAACTAAAAAATTTAACATTACACCCAGACATATATAAGAGTACAATAATAACAAGTTGTTAGGTGCACAAAATTATTAGCCAAATTGACAACGCAAAGCAATTAATTTTTATTTCAATTGCACTACGGCATTTTAGTTATGTTACAGTGTTGTGAGCCTTTAATGTCAATTTTTATAACGATGATTTTTGACATGACAGATGTGGAAGCAGGAGGCCGACCGATGTACATATACAGTGATATACCGTGTATAATGCGTGGGTAAAGAATTAATAATAATTTTGTGTTGTGCGGACGATCTTTATACAGTAACATCTCTTTGCAACACTACACAGAATTCTATGCTGAGTGGCGCATTAGCTCTCAACTCGAAACTAACAAAATAATACAGAACCAGAAGTTAATTTTTTGTATCACTTACTCACTGTCATAATAACTATATAATTACTGTGAATAAAACTGAAAGCACGTAAACCGTAATTTAAATGAATTTTTACATTGCTTTTATTTTTGAAGAAAGATACGGTAGTTCCCTGTGATATACGGATTACTGAACAGGTAGCGCACATCTCGAAGCTGGTCAGCATGCTCCAGTGCACTTACTAGGCGCTGCTATGTTGTTGAATGCTAACATCTTTCAGTGACGTGTTAACAAGATTTTTATTGTTTCGTCACCTAATAATCAAGCAAGTAAACTTCGAACTCGTTATCTGTATTATGCACATGGAATTTTAAGCGTACACTTTGAAACCGATCGTTTTCTGTAGCTCCAAATTGTTATCATTAGCAATCAATCTGTGCAAGTGACTTTATTAACGATAAAGACAATAATTAATGTGCTACCAACTCACCACGATCTTTGACCGATGATCGCTATTCACTACTTATTTATGAACCTGCTGACGCTATTGTAGACCGAAAAGTTAAATTTGAACAAAACCGCAGAATGCATTCAACTAATCAGCGTGTCTAATCAGTGTAGCTAGCAACAGTGGGGTTTAATTTTGCTTATCGTCTGTCTGGAGCTGAAACCGTCTGGGTCACTCTGGGTCATCTTATAACCTGTTTGTCCTTGTCAGTGGGTACCGCCGAAATTTGTAAAATTATGCTTTACGCTAAATTCTTGTGCTAGAATTGAAGGCAATATATTCGTAAGACTACAGTACTGTAACAAATGCTAGTAGTAATCATATACCAGGCAAAAACGCACCATACTTCGTGAAATCGCACCAAAGGTTTACAACATGCAAGCCGTATACGCATATTATAGCCAACTTCCAACCAATAGAACAATTTTTACCAAATGATCCCCATGCACAGATAACAGACGCTAACCAATTTTTTCCGTTATACTGTAGCATTCTGGAGATGCTTATATTTAGCTACTACTAGTAGTTACGAGTACTTGTAATGCTTCGTAAATTTAAATAAGGATGTTATGTTCAAAGGTGCCGCATTCTGTTCTCAGAACATGCTTCAGAACCACTGCAAACCTAGTAATTTTTTATTTTAAGTACTACTGACACAAGTTGCGGCAACGGAACTTGCCGAATGTTGTAATTAACAAATACTTCTACCGGAATAATTGTAATATGAGCAACACAACAGAAATCACTGTGTAAGGAATTATCATTTCTCTCTTTTTAGAAGAAACAGAAACAGAAACTCCAAATATGTATTTACGTAAAATCACAATAGCCCGTTTAGGCACTGCAAAAGTGTCATAAGCAGTTTCGGACTGTTGGCATTTGAACAGATTTACGAAACCAGATAAAACTGGATTGTTCCCGAAAATCCGTTATCGATGGCACACTAATCTGGCCTCCAGGAGAATAGTCACAGCAACAAAACGCTGTTACTCTATGCAAAATTGCTAAATCATTAGAGCTCATAGATTGATTCTTGTTGTAAAATTTGCACCGTAGGCACTGTTGCGGTTCGAGGCCTTCTTTCTGCATGCAGGAGTTTCGGGTGAAACCGGCAGCATTCTTCTGACTGTGGTGTCTGCGAAAAGTTCAGCCGTGTTGGCATTTGATGTGCATGTGTTCTTGAAATTTCCCGGTATGACGCTGGATCAGACGAAAAAACCAACACAAAACGCCCGCCTAAACATACACGGTAGTACGACGAAATGCACTAGGTAGCTGGTGCTGCAACGATTCCAGCAGTAGACACTTTGGGTTTTATGTTTTTCCGCGAGGTTCAAACGGTTACGGTGTATAACCAGGCCATTTACTTTCCGGCTAGCCATCATTTCGAAGTGTACAAACGCTTGGCTGCTGGGCCAGCTGCTGACGGAGGTCTACGCGTATGTGCAGCGAACGTTTTCGGCTTCGACGAACGATAACTCGATAGCATCATAGCTGCAATAAAACTCTTGCAGTAAGCAGAAAACGTTTTCGTACTTGCATACGTGTTTATAAAAAGGTCCAATGAGCTGAGATTGCCATAGGCTGATAGACAGCAAACATCTGAATATCGAGGTACTTACTTTGATTAATTTTTCGTTTCCAACCCCTGTAGTACATATATATATTTATTCTCTGCTCGCCAGACCTTACTTAAATTTTGCTAGTCAACACAAACAGATCCACTTCCACATGATACATTTTCCTGAAGGCTCACTTTGTCCGTTCATATATGATTGTGTAGCAGCAATTTCACTGAGCACTCTCTCGATACGTACGCCGCCCTGTAAACTCCGTTTATGTTTATTAGCATTACGCTGCATGCAGGACAATTACGATGTGTGCCATGTTTTCTGGACAACAAAATCCGCTGCAGGTCGCAGATGACAACCGTGTGTTACTGGGTAGCTGGGCAAACAAAACGCAGGTCTTTGTACCGATAAGTGCAGCGGATGTTAAGCAGGTAAGCAAACGGAGAAATACTCTAAAATTTGCTTAACACGAAATCTCAAGGGCAGAAAGTAACGTGTATGGGGCGATAACCAAATCTGCTGTAAAGTTAACCCGAAAACTTCTGACATTTATTTAGCTTTTCTGTAATTTCCTGGTTGCTCTTAGCAGATGCTTCTGATCAATTCAGTTCTCTTCCGTTAAAATTTATTATTAATACAGACGGCTGCTTCCCATATTAGAAAGCGGCGTTAAAACAAGGAAGTAATGGATACAGAGGTTTATCTCTTTGTAGCACGTAGTACGTGTGCATGCAGAACTTTTTGGTATCTAGAACTTTTTGGTATCTTTTTGGTATCTTTGGTATCTTTGGTATCTAGGCTTTTTGGAACTTTTTGGTTTGGTAGTACGTGTTCGAAAAATGACATGTTAAGATACGGTTTCCGGTTTCCACGATATCCTGTTGATATTCACGGTACGGAAAGTTGGTAAAAACATTAGGTAGTGTAGTCAACCGCGCTTATAATGCACAAACAAAAACTTTCTCTACGTGCAAACAAAATTAATCAGACATTAAATAAAATACTTTTCGAGTGGCACCTTAGAACCCGGTTTATTCCTTTGGACCACGCACAGTGACGCATCCCTTTTGCTCCACGATTAGGCACTACGACGATGCATCCTGTTTGACGGTTGTTTACCGTATGTGTTTTATGTATTTAGGCTCTCACTCAGACGCCTTCATGGTTATAGTATAGATATGCTAGGCGTTGCTTGCTGCAGTTATACAAATGCACTTTTAGAATGCGGGAGCAATGTTACTATTGTGTATGTCACGTCTGCCGCCTGGCAATTTCTTTGCTATTGGTGTAAAGTAAATAACTCATTTAGCACTGCAAAGTGCAGCATGCCTCGTTTGGCATAATCGTTGTATTTTTGTCGCCCGATAGAAGTCAGAAGAAGAAGGTAGAAGTCTGGGTCTGGAGCTGTAAACATCCTTAATCGACAATGAAGTGGACATGTGCTCACACCACATGTACAGATTAGACTTACTCAAAAGTGTGGTTATTACCAATATTATATGCTACGACGTGCAGCTGTGTGTTACATATTCAAAACAAGCCAGAGTTCTGGAATGCGCTGTGAAGCTTTAAATTTATGGAAATTATGTGGTGAGACATTTGCTGACGACAAGCTTTTGCGGCTGCTTCCCCAGACGGAAGGTTGGCCAAAGCCGTCTACCGCGCCAGTCGTCGAAAACAGTAGCAGCAAGCGATATATGTCAGAGATAAAGGAAAAATAGGATGTCGAAACTTTGATCTTTGCATCGGCAAAGCCTGTCGACTGTCGCGCCAGATAATAAAACCGCATCCGGTCGAGCACAACTGCAATGCAACTTCCAAGTCTCATCAGACTGACAACTGGAAAACGTTTAGACAATAGGGAAATTATGACGTAAATGGGAGGTCATAGGAACTAAACTGCCTAATCGGGTGAAAAATATTATGCTCCATACTGGGATTTAGGAACCCGGAACCTGCAACTGGCAGTACCGACAAGCTGCAGAAAAAGTGCAATGCAACACGTGCTCCAAATTATATGCCAGCAAAAAGAGCCTAAAGATACACAACCGCATCCACACTGGTTACAAACCATATGCGTAAGTCAATATCACAACAAGTTTGTTTTCGAATGTTACATAGAATTTTTAAGTCCAACATAAACTCGACGTCTTAATGTTATCCAACGCATCTATAAATAACGTCAATTACCCTCTTTATTACAGTTGCCCAATATGTCCCAAGCGTTTCACACAAACCAACGTCCTGAAAGCACACATCAATTACCACACCGGACGTCGCGACTGGTTATGCAAAATCTGTGGCAAGGCCTTCACTCAGTCGGCACATTTGCGAACTCACGAAAAGACCCATTCGAATCGCAAGGATTACCAATGCCCGTATTGCCAACACAATTTCAGCTGCAAAGGTCAGTTCTCAAACATCGTTCTTTTTTTTCCCGAGCCACTAGTCATACGACCGCTGGCTCATTATCAATTGCTATATTATCTTAACATCGCAATTTTTTACATCTCTTTTCTTGGAGGACACTTTAACCACAAGCACTAGCCTGTAGATTCTTATCTTTTCTTTGCATAACCAGAACAGAGGTGTAAAATTTATCGAAGCTGTAATCATGCCGCGAATTTTGAGATCAAGCAAGTGCGCGTTATAGATTTTAAGTTATGCAAGACAGACTTTGTTCCCATATAATCTTTGTACGAATATTCAAATTTGGTCTTGGTTCCAGATTTTACTGTCGTGTTACACCGTTGCAAACGATGACAGCGGAGCTTCTGCGAAAACAAAATCGTAAATCACACAGCCCTCAAAAGCGCTTTTACATGAACCTCAATCAGGGTGTAACAATTGTCAAAAAAGCAAGTTACAATGGAGGCAGCGTGTGAGAAATTCCATTATTTATAGCTTCGAGTGCCTTGGTGCAATCTATAAATATTAACCCGGAAGAAGTGGCGCACCAATTTCCTAGCGGAGATTTCACAATAGCGCAGTGTTATACTCCATTCGTCAATAACTGCAAAAACATTTCGAGAGAAACACTTAATTTCGGGAAAGTTTCATACTGAATCATAATGAACTGCTGTACATAATATTATTATACTGACCTCCATATTAAACTGTACGAGTATTGTTGTGAATCTACAAAACAACGCTAATCTGGTTAGTTACCGGATGCACCGGATGCGACTGATCGATTGAGATTGAGACAAAATTTGCCATCATTATTTACAGGCGTTAGCAAAATATCCGTAAAAAAGCATTTGAGCTGCCGCATTTCAATGATAGGCAAATCGCATGCCTCAGTTAATTAATTGTTATTTCCCTATCACAAAATCTGCCACTTTAGGTTTCCCAGCCAGTGTATTTGCATTGTTTTGCAGGTGTACGCGACCGGCACATCCGTCAGCATACGGGAGAAAAGCCTTACAAATGCTTGCTCTGTGAGAAACGATTCACGCGCGGTGAGTCACTGAAATTTCACGAGAACGCCCATCAGGGCATCCGACCGTACAGCTGCCCACACGAACACTGCCGGAAGACGTTCACCAAACAGTCCAGCCTGAAGCGCCACATCCGCTCCGCACACAGCGGACTGGCATCCAGCTTCCGCGTCCGTTCGGCCAAATTCAGCTCACCACTCGCTCACGTATCCGGCTGTTCGGCTATCTTCCCGACAACAGTGGCTTCGCCCAGCGCCAACAGTGACTGTGTATCAACAACCGGCTCATCCACGGCGGGCCCGGACAGTCCATTTGTCATTAAGATGGAGGAACTCGACGAGGACGACACCGAAGACCAGCTGCTGCAGAACATGATCCAAAGTCTGAGTGCCGCTGAACTGGATCGCCTGGATCAGTATTTGGGTTTAAGCAGCACTGATGCCTCGCTGGAGTCATTTTTGAATGGAAGTGGTGGAGAAGTGTTTGATAGTTTTGTAAAAATGGAAGTGGATGCTAACGATGTAGCTCGTCCAGGCACTGCTTACCCAACACAGAATTACAACGGGCCTGCTTACAGCGGGCATTATGGGATGAATATGTGGGATCCGGTGGACTGGGAGATGCCGGAGCACAAGGTTTTTGATCGACCATGTATGTCGGGTTGCGATTACGACAGAAAATTCCCGTTATATCAAATGAGCGGAAGTTCAGTGTATTGCCCCGGTCCACACAACTTACCGTATTCCACTGGTTTTTAAAACCATCAGTTGTGCTTCAACTTTAGCCATTGGAATCATTATATATCATATCGCGCTTCACATCGAATCACATGACATGGTTTTTGTACAGATAGCGGGACGGTTGCAGTATGGTCGGTGTGTAAACTCATGAGGAGGAGATTCGCGAAAGCTCAGAAGGTCAGGAAGCCACAAGGCTTCCCTTTGGATTGTTGGATTGTGATATTGCTGGATCTTCATTTGTTTTGTACGATAAGCTTTTAACAAGTTTCGTCTTGGCTGTGCACAGCTTGTTATTCGTTATACATGTTCGTATTTCTGCATTCCTGTAATTAGTGGGATCGTGGTTTGAGTAGTAGTTCTATAAGTACTTTTTTTGTTTGCCTGTAGAAGTATTAATCGTAAATTGAAATTGTTGCTTTTGTAACGATTTTTCGACTTTTCGTCACTGCCGTGTTTCAAGTTTTTCGTTATCCAATCAGGCAATCATTAGGTAAGGTTACAGCCGCACACATTGTGCGTTTATGTTCACAGTGTTACGTTTCAATAAAATAGGTATTTGAAGTTAGAATAATGCATGATAGGTTTCTTAGCAGATTGGAAGCGTAGTTAGACAAGTTTTAGAAATTTGTCGAGACGAAACGGAAGACGAAACTTCAAATTTGGACACACAAGTAAATGCATAAAGTAAGAGTACTTCAAGTACTAGTACTGTAAGTATTCGCCAACGAATTAAACGGACATCATCAGATGGACAGATTCGGTATATAGTGTGCAGCGCAGTGGCTACGGACTTTTAGCCAAGACATTGCAAAACCAGGTTACCAATTGAACAGGAAAATGGCAATGTGCAAATTAAAACAAACACGTACTGTGCTATCCGAATGGTAAGAATAACTTCTATAAAATCTTAAATGTGCCTGCTTTCACGACATCTGGATTAAATGCACTTCCCATGGTCCGCTGCTGCGCCATAATGAGCCATTACTTACCAATGTAAAGATAAACAAACACAAACAAAGAGAAAAAGCCGAAGCAAAATACGGACAGTACATATGACATCATAATATCTATATCTACAAGAAAGCGCTGCGGCTTCGCCTCCGCGTTTCTTGTGATCCACGGCCGAACAAATCATTTGAACAAATCATTCCATTTGCAGTAATACGTTAGTAAATTCACTAACTGCCTTAGCAGTTATTGTAGAACTTCTTAGGCAAGGAGTCTAGCTCGGTCCCTCACTCAGTTAGCAACTTTGTTCACTGGACAGCGGTAGCGGTGGTAGCTCGGTCACTCACTCACCTAGTTTTGTTCACGTGACAACGATGGTAGCTCGGTCACTCACCCACCTAGCGATTTTATTCACTGGACAGTGGTGGTAGCTCGGTCACTCACTAACGGTGTCACCTAGCGATTTTGTTCACTGGACAGTGGTGGACTGGTGGTAGGTCAGTCACTGACTCATCTAGCAATTTAAATTAATTTTTTTTTTTTAAATTTTCAATCATTTTAATTAGTTTCTACCAGCGCAAGCTTATTTTTATGTGAACTGGCCATTGCCGAATTAAAAGATCCTCTAGCAATTTTGTTCACCTAGGGTAGTGATTTATTGCTCGGTCATCACTCTGCTAGTGATTTTGTTTTGTTCACTGGACAGTGGCGGTAGCTGGGTCACTCACTGCCTTAGCAGTTTTGCTCACTGGCTTTTGTTTCCTTCAAAACCTGGGCTAATTCAACCAAGGGAATTGGATTTTTTAGGCATTTAAAAATTGAACATTTGAACAGCAATCAGGCGATTAAAATTCAACATGTTTGCAAATAAAATAACTACAAATTTATTGTAGTACATACTTAACACTTTAATAAATGTTCTAGGCAACTGGCATTGCTATTATTCTCAAGGTCCACTAGTACTTTGTTTGATCACTCAATTTGTATACGAAGTATTAAATAGTAGTGATAGTGCAGTAATTCGTTGATCCGAACCTTGTGACCGAAGTCTCCAAATTAATACCCGTTTTCTTAAGAATGTTTCATAAAGAAATTGTTTCATAAAGAACTACTAGTTCTTTATGAAACAATTTTTAGTTTTCTAAGCTTTTCTTTGAGTCGATGTACTACAGCAGTATACTTTGTAATTTTCATGTAATTATAATTTTTTTTCTAGATATGGTTATTTCCAACGTGAACAGCCCTTTTTGCAGTGATTGTGCTTATTCACTGCCGACGAGGATGCCGTTTATTTTTATGGTGTTTTTGTAGGGAATATAAATTTTTCGATCTGAGCAGTTTAGTCGGTTTGGCATTTTCTGATCTGAAGAAACTAATTTATTCCTTTTAGACGGGATTATTAATTTTACGGACCGTATACAGTATGCTGATTAAGGGATTTGGCTTGGTACATACACGTACCAAATTCGGGTACATACACGGGAACTTACGCTGTCGCGCACTCCTAAACACTTTTTTGCATTGCTTTATGATATTTTGTAGCCAAAGGATTCGTATACACAGGCGAAAAACCCGTTTGTGCGCGCAACATTCGGTTCGGGAGTTATTAGTGAAATAAAATTCCAAAAGTATAAACGCGCGGAGATGTACTGGTACCAAAAGTTTCAGTGTGAACCGATGCTCTTCAAATTTTGCACGAAAACACGCATTACCATGAAGATCGTTTTGGTACCGAACCAGCTTTCTACCATTTTTTCAAATTTTAAATTAATTTTAAAAATTTTTGAGACCGGCGTCTGTGAAGGGGAGCCTATATATTTACTTAATGCCTCCAAGATTTATTTTTACACTATATTTGGCAGTCACTAACTATACCAAATGCATGTAAAGCGTAAACATGTGGCGTGGCGCGCCGGATTGTGTAATTTGGCGTAACCCACGAAGTTACATTTTTCGCTGTATTAATCGTGCTCATCATCCGGGCCGGCTGGTAGTGGTAAATTTATCTACAAAGGTCACCTGGCGCGTAACAAACGATTGCAACACAGGATATTACTGTAAGAACTTCTAAAAAAATAATAAATAAAAAAATAGAAAATAATAAATTTAAGAAACTTTGAATTACTGAAGTTTTTAAAAGCAATTCTTTTTGAAGCTTTGTCCATGTACTGAAACGTGCTCATCAAATTTCGGTGAAGTTTAAATGTAAACTCTAACCAGGGCATTTTCCGTGTGTAAATTCAGAAAATTTTGATGTTTTGGGGAAAGATATTACCATAGTATGCTTAAAAAAGTAATTCCATCTGCTATGGTCCACTGGGCGTGGCAATGCAACAATTACGTATATGATTCCATAGTACTCTGCATACTGCTTTGCGAGTATTATACAAATAGAATGTTGCTGCAGTAAGTACGGGCTTTTCTGCTGTAACTTTAGTCTGCTGTAACATTATTCTGGTGTTGCAACTTGTGAATGTTGCTTAGGGTAGGCTTTAGCCGTACACCCCACTTTTAGTCCACCGACGTAAGTGAAGCAGACGTTCTCATTTCATTCCTGCCAGATTGCAAATTTTTAAATATTGTCAGGGTCTCCTCGACAGTATACGAATTATTAGGTATACCGTATACGAGTACTGTACTGTTGAATTTGTAACTATTTAACAACAGCCGCAGGGCATAGGCCATTCCTTTTGATCCATTTAAATTTTAATAATTTTTTTAGTTTCTATCACCAACTCTTGCGGCAAAACTATTCAATGACTTCGCCGACTTTACGCGAGAACTGCTACTTTAATGTGATCTGTAACTTGTAATAGCACTTTGCTCCAGTGAATTTATTTCTAATCATGACACTATTAAATGTCATGATTAGAAATAATTTGAAATCAAGCATAAAATAGTATCATGTGTACAGTAACATTCATAACAAACGCAAAATAAGTAAGATAACATACATACATAACATTAATAATATAACAATCATATCAAGCATAACATAAGTAACATAACATACATAAAACCTTTTTGCACGAACAGCTCGTCATATTTATTTGACTGTAAAGCGATATTTTACGAGCATAGTGTTTGCTACTCTCTGTTACTGCGGATTCGCGTTTATTTTATTTTGGAATAACTGGCTTGCCAATATAAACAGTTGTATTCTATTTCTAGGACATCTTGCCGCATATCGGGCTAAATAAATACGTACCTGCAGATCAACACACAAAATATTATACGAGTAGCACTGTAGCAGCAATAGCGTAAATGCTGAATATTAATGGAAGTGGCCCGGTACAATACATGGTACCACATTCGTGTACATGCACCAAAACTTTCACTTTCGCGCATTCTGAAATACATTTTTGTTTCGGTTTATGACCAGTGGATCCACTGTTCTAGCATGTTTTTCAAATTATAAAATAAATTTCAAAAATTTTTAAATTCATTTTAAAATTTGAAAAAATCATGGAAGTCTGGATCGGTGTAAAAACAATCTTGGTGGTCATGTGCATTTACTTGCAAAATTGAGGAAGATCGGTCCATAATGAGACTCTTGGTACACCTGAATGCATTTAAACTTTTTGGAATTTTCTAACAGCCATAACTCCCGAACCGGATGTTGCGCGCACAAACGGTTTTCTCGCCTGTGTATACAGATCTTCTGGATACAAAATGCCATAAGCCGAAACAAAAATGTGTTTGAGAGTGCGCGAAAGCGTAAGTTTTAGTGCATGTACTCGGTTTTGGCACAATGTCCCGGGCCACTTCCCTTCAGCCGATAAGCGAAAAATACAACAAACGTTTTTATCAAGCCAGTTATGCAAAATGGAAAACAGTTTTGGGCAAAATTAGAGTGTAGGCGGTCATGACCTGAAAATATATTTTCGATCACCGCTTGACGGCGGCGCAGGTTTACCTACGTAATACGAGTATGGTAACTAACGAAAGCAGTACACTGCTAGTATACTCGTATACGATTGCCTTTAAATTGGCTTTTGGCCACGCCCACTAGACCATTGCCGGTGAAATTATTTTTCAAGTGTTATCTCTACCTACTCCGTCTTCAAGCAAAAAATCAGATTTTTCGGAGGGGGGAGCCTCTGACCGACCCCTGGTCAGATACACGGTGTAACTGCGTGCAGACTGCAGGCTGCTGACTGAACGTGATCGGCTTTAATTCTCACTCGCCTACAGTACAGAAGGCTTAGACCGTACAAAAGTCTGGACAAGTGCAGGGTAGCGGTACAGTACTTATCTTTAAATTATTATATAGATTTAGCATATCGAAAGTTGTTTTTGGTACTGATGCAGGATACGAAGCGCGATAAGCTAGGAGCAGTGGCAAACAAACAGGAGGATTCGGAAAAGGCTTTTTGTACCAGTGTTCTCACCATCAGCTGTATTGCCGAGTTTCCTGAGTTTGTGCGCGAGAGTATTAAGAACGAAATTGGCGGAATACTTTCACGCTATGAAAGCATCTATCCATGCGGATCATTGCAACCTCCTCTCGCTATAGCGCCATCCGAAGTTATTATTGGCAGTACTAGCATATTTTTAAATACAAGCTGCGATATGTTTCGCGGTTTGTAGTGCATGAAAGCTGCAAAGGCAAA